TCCCTATATTATAATGCGCTAAGTCTGTCTGTCTGTCTGTCTGTCACGAAATTCCGTATTAAGCGGACAACAACCTACTGGGTCCAGGTCAAGTATGGGATGGGTGTACCATATCTCGAGAAGTAAAAAACATACATTACCTAAGCGGAGCCTCGCCCACAGTGGGCGTGGCGTGCGTCGAAATGAGTGGTACTGAGGACCATGATTTCAAATTCAGTCACAAAACAGCCTCGAGACCGGGACAAAAGTGGGTATAGGTGTGCGTTGGTAAGCCAGATCGAACTGAGGAGACCCACCCTCGGTGGGCGGGGCGTTCTCTAGAAAATGGGTGCTCAGTGAAAATATTCATAACTCGGTTAAGAAGAAGCCTACAGACCAGAAACGAAATTAGTGCAGGGGAGCAATGCCTAAGGTATTTCCAGCCACGCATGATGTGAACGGAGGCCCGCCCACAATGGGCGGAGCGTGTCGTGAAGCGGACAGCGTTTTCTACAAGAGCTCATAAATCGGCTCCGAGATGACTTAGAGACCGGAAAACAGCGGATAGAGGTCAGGAGGGGAGGGGAAGCTAAATGTCAAGAATGGGCGTGGCTTATCAAAGTGGGCGGAGTTTGCAATTAGGCTTATAACTCGGTTCCTAGGAGTCCCGGAGTCCGGGAAAAAAGCGTATGAGGGTTGGCAGAGGGAAAGGGGTCAACCGTTGTTGGCGGGCGGAGCATGCGCCAAAGTGGGCGGGGTTTGCCACGGTATATCGGTTTCCAACGGTAGACGACCCGAGAATGTGAGTAAGGGTGCGGGGAAGGGTGTCAATACCAAACTATCCAAATGGGGTTTGAAGTTTGGATTGCAACCACCTTGAAGATTTCTCACACATCTGAACCGTTAGATAAGGTTCTTGGTGGGGTAGAACTTACAGGCAGAATCACAAGCAGATCATTAGAGAAATTCTCTTCGAAAGCGCGTTAGCAAGGTCCCTAAGCGCAGTGGTAGTGACACTTTCGCGACACGAATCTACGCTATGAGAGTGCTTATGCCTTCTCTTGACCGCTGCGATCGCTGCCATCCTTCCGTTGTTATAGTTCGCAGCGTACGCGGCGTCTGTTTCTTCCAGTACGACGTGGCTTTCGCGTATTCTCTCTTCACCGAGGTTGGTCTCTCCATCGTACAACTGCCAAACTTACATGAAAGGAGGCTATTTCATGTGGTTCCTTCTACTTCGTTCCTCTCTGAAAGATTCCTCCAGAGCTTTTGATTCATTTTAGCGCGGAATAACACATCAATTCGAATACAACTCGCGCCTGTACCCTACTGCACATGAAACCACGTTTGAGCCTTCGAAGACGAAATTCAGTTGAAGTGTTGAGTCCTTTCATAACACACTAACCCATGTAACAACTACCTGGGTCAGTTGAAACGAGAAGAGAGAGCTTTTTATTGAGAAGAAAAACTCGTGAAGTATTGCAATAAAAAGATGAAAGGATAGATTATACTGTGTTTATGTAGACCAATCCCTTTCTTATATACGTCATGCATTCCACTTCTATTCCAAATCGACCTGGCAGTATCGATGCGATTTGGCCTACACATGAAATCCTGAGTCCAGTCAATTTGCAAGCCAGTGCTTTTGCCTCACAAACAAACTCGGTTCCAAGAACTGATCCCCTGACCTGCGCGGTGCTAGGAGGACCACTTATCATTACACCTCTTCAACCCCGAAATGCACTACTAGGGTAGAAAAATAGCACAAGCAAGAAGTAACCTACCCAAAATTTCAGCGCCTTGAAACTTCATAGATAATACAGGGTGGCCGAAAAGTATAGGACGCCATGTTTTTGTGTGTGAAAGCCAAGAAAGAGACTCGATCAGGAAACTGACTTCACACAAAGAGATAGAGTTAAGCTATTTGATCACTTGTGCAGAAGGTGACGACTCTGCTTCGGGAGAGGCCTTCTGACATCCAGCGACAAAATCAGCAGTGCCGCTGGTAGCCAACGGCGATGTCCTTCCATCTTTTCTGAAGCGCTAATTTCAGAGCTGGAGAAGTCTTGTGAGGTCTTGCTTTACAATATCCTCACATGGAGGAGTCCCCGTGGGTTTGGGCCTGAGAGAAAGAAGGTCGACAGTTCCTTGCTCCAGTGGCCCGGAGTGAGCCGCCCGAGGTGGGCTTCTTGGGCGATTTGACAGCGCATCTAGGAACCGCAAGCATTGAAGAGCGTCATTGCCAGAAAAATGCTCGTCCAAATCCAGAACAACATAACTGTACTTCCGAGTCTATTTGGCAAAACCTTCGAAATTAACCAATTGGACCGGCGCATTTTGACTGCTACGAGTTACCCCTTCACAAACTACCACACACCTTCGGGAGAAAGTCTGTTGTGAACTAGACGTTATCTCGGAGACTTGCTCTCACTTTTTGAGCAACAACTGCCTCTGACTTTGGTGGTCGCAAAGAAGTTTAGTTCGAAAATTTTCTCATCAACCCAATCCATAGAGAGACGCGGCGCACCTCGAGCTCGTGCAGAAACTTTTGCATTTTATCAGTTGAATCTATTCGGGTTGCTCCAATAAAAACCAGCATAGAAAAAGTCGGTAACCCCTTCAAATAATGACTGCTTCCCAAGATTTTCTGGAAGGAGTGACGGCAGATCCTGAGATCAAAAGCCATGTGACTCACGCTGGCTTCTGTTGCAACCAGACCACTTCTCTAGGTGATTGCCTCAGTCCTCTGAGTGTGCACAGTTCTTGAACTTCCACTTTTCGCAATCCCCGAAACGTAAGCTTGAACCTTGAGAGCACCGAACATGTTTCAAAGAGTTGAAGAGGGAATACCGAGTCGCTTTCCGAAGTTGCAATTTCAGAGACCGTCATTGGGCAGCCCCTTGGTAATGGGTCGATGCAAAAAATCTCCATGGCGAGAGTTCAGATGAACATTTGGACCAAACAACTTAGGGTGCTTCTTACATAGTTTCAGTACTTTCGAAGAGTTTCGAAACACTCTGAAAGTACACCACGGCTCAGTGCCAGCAAGCGGTCAAAGCCGTGTCCTATACTTTTCGGCCACCCTCTACTTTTGAAAGGCCATTTCACTCAAGTAATCAAAACGCGAAACAGTCCGAGTTCACCTAGAAGCGACTTGACCTCTTTATTATTGGAAATTTTTTGCTACCCGCAGACTTATGCCTCGATGTGAGTGGCAATCAATAAGCTTCACATATCCTTCACATCACACTCTTATTCTCTTTGCACTTTTCCAATCTCCCGCAGCAGGCGAGTAAATAAGAAGAAGAATATCCTCGCTCGTGACCTCGTCATTCACGACGAGATTTTCTCCATGGATGCGATGTTGTCACTCAAAACTCAGATAGTCCGGGATAATCACCAGAACTAATTCAGTAAAGTACCCCTTCGCCCAATTCATTACATTAAAACAACGTTGAGCTTCTAAAAGTTCTTGCGACAGCGATTTTAGGGATGTGCAAAATTGCTGTTTCACCGTTTTTCGTCCTCTTTTCCCCCCAACGGAGCAAACAAATACGTCCACTGCATCGCAACGACAAATTTTTTTTTTTTTTTTTTTTTTTTTCTCTTTTCCGTCACGCTACTTGCCATCTGAACGTGGAAACTTTGTATTGAGCGCTAACAAAATAAAAATACACCAGCGATCGCCTGCTCCGGGATGAATCGCGATCAATTGGCAAAGTCGGACATCAGCCTGCTGGTTCACGTGTGAAATTATTTCTGAATATACTGCAGGTTTTTGTTAACCTTGATGGGAAGTGAGCTTAAAAATTTAAACCAACTAACTTACGCACAAAAGAAAAATTCAACACTCAAAAGCAAGTAAGGTAGAAAATATTCAGAACTGAACTGTTGGCCTTGTCCATTTCGGAACAAAAGTGCAAATCTGCATTAAATCGCAAAAGCCTTTAAAATCGGCCACAGAATGGCTTGCTGGGCTGACAGAAATTCAAGACTGTCATCTCCTTCTAAGCAGGGAGGTCGTTCAGGACTTGGAACGCTTTTTCCAAACGGTTTTTTGCATGACATAGGGGACGTGTGCTGAAAAACAAAACTATGTTTCAGTTTTCCTGAACGGCCCTATGAATACTAAAAAAGATCGGAGAAAAATTTCTTAAGGGACTGCCGCTTTTACTGCTCCATTGTGGAGTGTGTTCTGCCCAAAGTGTTGGCTATTGTAATTTTCAAGATGTTCTCGCTAAACTAAATTGAATATAACGCAAAATTTGGACAACATGATGCGGTTGTCCGAGGCCATATGCTGAAGAAAGTTCTATGGTCTTTTGAGCATTTTCGGCA